TAGAAGAAGCTGTGGAAGAAGCTACAGAAGAGGAAAAAGAAAAGTTATTGGAAGAGCAACGAAGGCAGGAGGAAGAGCAACAAAGGCGTTTGGAACAAGAAGACTTGCAGAAACGCTTGCATGAAGAACAAATGATTCAACAACAACAATTACAGTTACGACAATTACAGCAACAAAAACAAGAACAGCTTGAAAAGCAAAGACGTGAACGTGAACTTAAACAACAACGCGAACGTGAACGCGAGTTAGAATTACAAAAACAACGAGAAATTGAGCTACAACGTGAACATGAACGTAAATTGGAGTTACAAAAGCAACGTGAAGCTGAACAGCGCGAGCGTGAAATTAGACAACAACGTGAACTTGAACGTGAATTGGAGTTGCAAGAACGACGGAAAATTGAAAAGCGAGAACGCGAAAGAGAAAAACGAGAATATGAACGGAAATTACAGGAACAATATCAAAGAGAGCAACTTGAACAACTCGAACGACAAAAACGTGAAAAAGAGCTTAGAATGCGTGAACAATTAGAAAAGCGTGAGCGCGAACATGAACTTGAGTTGCTGCAACAACAACGTGAATATGAAATGCAACAACAACGTGAATATGAAATGCAGCAACAACGTGAATATGAAATGCAACAACAACGTGAATATGAAATGCAGCAACAACGTGAATATGAAATGCAACAACAACGTGAATATGAAATGCAGCAACAGCAACGTGAATATGAAATGCAGCAACAACGACTTGAATTGCTGCAACAACAACGTGAATATGAAATGCAGCAACAACGTAAAGATGCTCGATACGAGATCAATGATAGAAGTAGAAGAAGAGATTTAGAATGGAATGATAGAGGAAGGCATTACGTCAAAGATAACGACATGAATGATATGTGGAGCAGAGATAGTGTGTCAAATGACAGAGAGCATCTTAGCGAAGACCATGAGGAAGATTTTGATAGTGTCAGCGAATTTGAGCTTAATCAACTGGAAAAAGATAATAGAGAAAAAAGATCCGTGAATAAACCGGTGGGACGTGTGGTTTCGCTTCCACCGCCACCACAGGACTTTGGAGTTACTGACTTGGATTATCGAGATCCTGAGATTGCTAACTTAAAGGAGCTTGTAGAAAAATTAGACATGGAGGAACACGCATTAAATGGAGTAAGTTTTATTAAATATAAAAACAATCGTATCATATAAATTAATAATATTATTTTGTTTTAAAAGGCGAACACTGCAGATGACTTGAGTGATATGGCACCAAGTCGACCGACAAGTATTTTTATTTCGGAAGATGCATTGAAACATCTTTCTAATACTTTAACTGGCAACGTTAATCCATTTTTCATAAATCCAGAAGAAAGATTTAATGGAAATGAAAAAGGATTAACTACTATACAAGAGTCTGAAACTTCAGAGATG